CATAATTTGTTGTGATCCACAGTCAAATGACTTTGCATAGTCAATAAAATACAGATATACATCCTTCTGGTATTCTCTGCTTTCAGAGAAGATCCATCTGATATCAGTAGTGGTATTTCTCATGCCTAGGCCTCTTCTGAATCTAGCTTGAACTTCTAATAGTTCGCAGTTGATACACTGTTCTACAACAAGATTTCTTTTTGAGAATTAATTTCTTACCAAAGTAAAGAAAAAGAATTTGGTTTTTAATTGTTTTTAGTTCTTATTTTCAGCTGTCATATTTTGTTAGTTTCTCCTTTAGATTACTTTCTGAATTTCTATCTGGCTTTTCTTAATTGAAAGGAGGCCCGGAGGGACTATTGTTGTTGCTGTGGGCCATCGAGTCGACTGTGACTCGGATCCTGAGCCAGTCTCACCATCTCCGACACACCTGTAGTGGCTTACATTTTGGAATGTCAAGTAGATTGTTGAGGCTCAAATCCACAAAAGGATCTGTGGAAATCAGATCTGTTTTTATTAAGATTTATAGCCTTGGAAGACCACTGAGGGCTACCAGAAATCAGAATTTACTTGACTGCAGTTTGTTGATTCTTCCACAATAACAGACACCCTGGGGGTATGTTGTTGTTGTTGCTGTTATGTGCCAACTCATAGCGATGCTATGTACAACAGCCCTAAACCCTGCTCTAGCCTGTGCCAATCTCACTGCCTCCGACACACCCATCCCAATTACCCCAGTCACTGAATCAATCCACCTCGTAGAGGGTCTTCCCCTTCTGCACCGTCCTTCCACCCTCCCAAGCATGATGTCCCTCTCCAAGGACCTCTCCCTCCTTAGGACATGTCCAAAGTATGTCAGACAAAGCCTCAGAATCCTTGCCTCCGAGGAGAAGCCTGGTTTAACCCTCTCAAGGATGAATCTGTTTGTTTTCTTGGCAGTCCAGGGTACATTCAATACTCTTCTCCAGCACCACAGCTCAAAGGCATCAATAGTGAAGTAAATATTGATCAGCTGACTGAATGATATTAGTGGTTTGAAATCCCTGACTGCTTCATGAAGGAAAGATGAAGCAACTCGCTTCATTAAAGATTTACAGCCTTGGAAACTTTATAGGACAACTTTGTCCTATAGGGATACTTAGTTAGAAATGACTCCATGTGTGAAGTTTATATATCAGTATGACTTTTCTAGCATTATTTGAATGTGGATGACTGACCGTGTGGATGGGTGGGAGTATGTGAATGGGGCGTGCTGGCCCGTCCACAAGGGGATTGTGTATCTACCAGTTCACAAGGGGATTGGCCAGTATCAACAGCTACCAGAGGATTGGCTCATCTTGCCAATAAATTGAACAGCTCTAGGCACAAAGATTGGATCTTCCCCTTCCAGAAGAGGAAAGAGACCTCCCCCAACAGGGTGAAAGGAAGCAGGAAAATGTAGGACACAGTCTGAGACCACAGAAGAAGCAGCCATGGTCAAACTGGAGACATGGCATGAGTTGAGATGACACCGTGGAGAGGCAGGGAGAGCCAAGACTGAGAACTTTATTGGACAGTTGGGGTAAGGGGGGACTAATATTGGCAGGACTGGGAATTTGGGAACACTGAGAGCCAAGAGGCTTGAGGCTGAGGTGCCTGCATGTACATTTCGGATGTTGTCTTGACTGTATTCTGTTATTAATCTGGGTTATAATCGTTTGACTTCCCCAGTATGGTTCTGTGTGGTCTCTGAGCTATCACAGCAGATTTTGAACCCAGCAAAGCAGTAAGGTTGGTGTTGAGATGAGTAGAAAGAGGTATGGGAGAGAGAGAGAGGGAGGGGGACACATATCTGACCCCATTGGAATTAGTTTTGTGTTATTGATGGTGTGGATGGGGACTTTTCCCCTCTGTGAAGTTGATAAGATCAGATATGGCGGTCCCCACTTGGCCCGTGCTCTTCTTTATACTGATTGTAAGTTTTTCTCCTAATCAAGCCTGTTTCACCACTGTCATCCAAATCTCTTCATCTCATACTTGGATTACTATAACAGGGTCTCATTGGACTTCCTAAGGGCAATGCCTTATAGAGTTTAGTCTGTATCAGGCCATTTTTTGTTAGTGACCCCATGAACAGAAGATCTGAACTTTGCCTTATCCTATAATATCCTCATCATATCTGTATGACTTAGCCAACTGTTACAGTCACTTTGTCAGTACATTTTGTTGAGGGTCTTCCTCTTTCTCTGACCCTCCACCTTTCCAAGTGTTGTGTATTTTTCCAAGGACTGGCCTCTCCTCACAACATGCCCAAACTATGGGAGAAGCAGCTTTATCATCTTTGTTCCAAGGAGCACTCTGGTTGCACTTTTCTCCAAGATAGACTTTTTTGTTCCTTTATAGTCCATAGGATAGTCAGTACTCTTCTCCAAGATTACAATTCAAAGACATTGATTCTTCTTTATCCTTCTTACAACCTTCACACGACTTAGTGATTATTTTTAAAAAATGTAGATTTCCAAGCCCTCAAGGGAGAGCTCTTGTATCTCAGAATCTCAGTGTGGGGCCCTTGAATGTAGTTTTGATGACTTTAACATCTCTTTCTAGATCGGTGATTTTAACCCTGGTTACACATTAGAATCACTTTGAGAGTGTTTGTTGTTTTGTTGTTAAGTGTCTTCGAGTTGTAGTAAGTGACTCATAGCGACCCTATGAACAAAAGCCCTTGATGCTTGCGTGCCTGACTTTCATCCTTTCTCCAGGTTCATAGGGTTTCCTGAAGCAAGCTATTTACGTAAGTGGATGCCACTCCTGCTTCTAATCCAGAGTGTTTAGAGACTTGGGAAAGAGGCCTTGGTAATGTTTAAACTCCCAGGTGACTCTGTACTTTTAGTGTTGAGACCTTCTGCACCAGAAAGTGTTTATGAATCATTTCAGGGGATGGTGCTGTTAACGTATAAGTCTCACTGCATTGATAAATCTTGAATGGGGCCCAAGAAGTTAAGGCTAGTGGACAGCTTGTGCTGGTTAATTGTTGTGCATGATGTTAGAGCTTTGGGCATACTGATTAAACATAGGCCTGGATGCAAGGGCCTTTCAGGGTAGCTGAGGAAGCTGTTGGCTACACAACTGGCTATTTAGAAGCTGTAATGGAGGTATGTATCAGAGCTGAGAGGATAGGTAAAGAAGCAGGGGGAAAAAAAGGTCATCATTTTAATTCCTTTGAATGGACAGAATAAAATTTTTTGTGTGTTTGTTATCTCCTTCAGACAGAAGCAGAATCCTCCAAAACTTTGTGTTTGAGGGGAAACAGGATGTGTAGATTAACTGGGGCTAGGCTCTGGGGTGTGGTTCCTTGGTGAGTGAAGGGAAGACAAGTATATTCTTCAGTGAAGGGTTGAGACTCAGAACTGTGCCTCCAGAAAGATCACATTGACTTCAGTCTAGAGGATGGAGTGTTGGTGTGGGTACAGGGACATTATTTACTGATGACTTCAGTTGCTGGAAGGAAACTTTAAAACTTTGAACGGATCCTTGCGGAAAGGGTTGTAATATTAGAGGTTGAATATAGAATTTGTTGAAGTTGGTTTGAAAACTGCTCATTTGATGTAAAGAGAACCTTTAACCTCTTGTTTTTAAAATGTATTATTTTATATTTGCACACAAACTTTGTTTACATTGTTTTTCATTCATATACATTGTGTTCCACAGATTCTTTCATTCATATTGTGTATTATAGGATCATTTCCATATATTGTGTTTTATACAGTTCATCACCATTGATTTATACCCATTAACACCTCTCCTTGTCAGGTCACTTAAGATTCTGAGATGCTCTTTTGAATAATCTTAAATATGGACTAGCTGCAATTTGGAAATAGGCTCTATTTTGGAAGTTCTGCAAATCAATGTGTACATTTGATGTATTTCTCCATGTAAATATTGTTGCAAGTTGAGGTCATTGAACACTCAGGGGCATGGAAGGGGCAGCTCTGGACGGTAGAAGGAAATTGAGTGCCGTAATTAGAACATTTCGATTCAAGTAGTTCTTGCCTTAAGGGAAATACCCTGTTTGGGCATTCTTATTTGTAAAATATTATGGAAATTGAAGGACAGAATGTGAAGGTGCTTTGTCAATTTAAAGTCAAATGCTAATCAGATATACATACAAGGGAATGGAACCTGAATGAGAACATTTCTTAGTGGTGGAGAATGTATCTCCTAGACTCCATGGGGCCATTTGTCGTCTTACCTGGATGAGGAGAGAAACTAATTTTGAAGTTGTGGTACAGAACTTCAGTGGAGGAATCTTAAAATGGAGATATTCCGAGTTCCGACTTGCCTCTTCCCCCATGAGTCTAGAAAGGGCCAACAACTGCAGGACAGCTTTGTAGGCATGGTTTGCACCTACCCACAGTTTGAGGGCAGGGATCAGGCTGGGAGCAAGGATGCTGGGACCAGAGGGAATGGGCATTAGGGACTGTGAGGCTCAGGCAGAGCACTTGTCAACAGCCCACTTTTTTATTCTGTGTCCTTGCCACGAAGCAGCTCAGATGGCGCACTGGTTAAGCTTTCAGCATAGCTGACCCCTCCAGTAGGTTTTAGAGGCTGGGAATTGCCTGCTAAGATTGCCCACCTATCTCCTGTAGACACTCTGGTGTATTGGAACTGCCAAAGCAGCCCTTGGGTATAGGCTTGGAAACTCTTGGAGCAGTTCTGTTGGGCCGCTGTGAGTCGGAAACTGGTTTGAAGTTTCTGTTTTTCTTTTCACGTGCATTCTTTATTGCCGCTGGCAGTGATGGGCAGACCTTCGCGTTTGGTACAGTTGGACCAGGAGAAAAAGATCTACGACTGCCAGTGGCCTTGTAAACCTTGACTGGAATCCGAGGCTTTGGAAGGAGCAAGGTAGAGCTGGCCGGAGGGGCACGGGTCACCTCCACACAAGCTCCTGGAGGTGGGATAGGGGGCTCCTCCGTGCACACAGGCACCTCCCCGTGAGGTCCTGACGGGGTGACACCGCCATGTCGGGTCTTCAAGGGGGTGTAGCTTCTACACATGAGCCCCTGCGGTTGCGCCCTGGGACTCCTCTTCATGGACTCCTTGCGGGGGTGGGACATCTCCAGGTGGGCTTCTCCTCGCAGGCCCTCAGACTCCTATGGGGTCTCCTCCATGTGGGCTCCTCGTGCTCCTTAGGGGGGCGCTCCTCCACGTAGGTTCCTTGGGCTCCTGGGGGGGCTCCTCCACGTGGGCTCCTCGGGCTCCCTGGGGGCTTCTCCACACGGCCCTTCGGATTCCTGGGGGTCCTCCTCCACACAGACTCCTAGGACTCTTGAGGGAGCTCTTCTACGTGGACTCTTTGGACTTGGGGAGGGGCTTCTCCACGCGGCCTCTTTGGACTCCTGGGAGGGGGGCCTGCTCCACGTGGGCTCCTCGGGCTCCTGGGGAGGGCTCCTCCATGCAGGCCCCTCGGGCGGCCCCCTCCTGGCGCAGCCCCTCCAACCCGCCTGCATTGCGCGCTGGGGCCGGTGGGTAGGGCCTGGCCTGCCAGGCAGGAGGAGCCAGGGCGGATTCGCCAGCTGGGCTGAGATCCTGGCTGGGCGGACAGGTTCGCGAGCCTTCCACAGCTGTTGATTTAAAGGATTTATGTAATTTGTACTAAGTAAATGGAGAGTCTATTTTTGAAAACTATCACACATACGTGTGAATGCATGTCCGTGTGTACGCAAAATAGCTGTATATGGGAATGGAAGGATATTAGAATGTTTTATATGGACAAGATTTAGGATTTTTTCATTCTCTCTTCTATTAGTGGAAGTTGTTGTGTCTGTGCTCCGTTCTATGTTAGTAAATTCTGTGGAGCACTGCCATCTAGTTAGAGAAACGCAGTCCCTTTCCCTCAGGGAATTACATTCTAACTAATGTGTATACATAGTTATACAATAATTTTTATAATAAAAGAATTTTCTATTAAGAAGCCTCTGAAATTCTCTACAACTGATTCCTTTTAAAAGAAAGTGCTAATGCAGCCTTCCAGCACTTGCTGTGAGGGTGCAGGTAATTTATCTGCTCCTAGCTTAATGTGAGCTTTTAAAAATTCTCCGGAATAAATATTGAAGTCTTTTGAATTTGAATGAAAAACAAATCTTTCCTTGGCCATCTTTTTCTCTGAATTGAAAAGATTTAGTAATTTACAATTTCAACATTATTTTGAAAAATGCTCTATATCTACATTAGCCCTTTAGGGTGCCTGTGTGTTAAGGTGGGCAAACTGCATTATCAATTAATGATGCCTCGGAAGGCTTTAGACAAAGTTGGTGATCTCAGGAATAATCATCATTTAGAGTATTTTTCTGCTGTAGGCAAGAGGGCAAAAAATACTGTAAGGGTACTTCCAGAACACTTGTGTTTTTATGTCCTTAAACTGTGTGCTCACAAGGCATTATTTGCTTTACTTGGGAATTCATTTCAAAAGACACATAGAAAGATATTTTTATTTATTTAATAAATAAATGTATAGCTCTAAAGCTTTATATAAAAATGAATAACCTCTATAAAATAAACCTGTGAGGACAGTGGTGGTTCAGTTCTTGCCTTTCTATGTGGGACATCAGGGATTCATTCCTTGTCGGTGCACCTCATCCAGAGCTACCATTTACCAGCCAGTGGAGGCTTGCAAGTAGCTGAAGAAGTTCAGTGGTGCTTTCAGACTGAGGCTGGGAGGAGAGCCTAGCAGTCTGCTCCCCAGAGTGGTCCTGTGAGAACACTGGATGGCAGTGGATTATAGGAATGGAGCTGCCCGGAGCTTGTTTGTTCTGTTGTGTACGGGGGCATTGTGAGACAGTTAGGGGCTAATGCACCAGCAGCTCACAACAACATATTACAGGTATAAGCAGATGGATTGCATCTCCATCTCTGCATTTCCCCCCTCCCCCCAAATATAGATAAATAGGTAAGAAAGAATAAAGAATATTTAGGGCAGAGACACCTAGATCTTTGTCCTTTCCTTTCCAACCTTGATTTCTGTGTATATCAGCTGGGTAAGTTACTGAACTTCTCTTTTCCTAAGTTTCTCATCTGTGTATTGGAGAAATGGTAGTACCTTTCACATAGAGTGATTGTGACAGTTTATTGATTTGTTGTTGTTATAGTGTGCTGTTGAATCAGAACTGACCGATAGTAGGTTGTCAGAGGCAGTCAGCTGTGGGAGATTGCTCTCCTTCTCCCTCAGAACAAGCAGCTGATGGGTTTGAACCCAGTGAAGTGCCTGGGATGTAAACTGTACTGAGATAATAACTATGCCATTGAATTGAAATGAACAAAGGAATACAGACAGCGAGCAGATTATGAATTAATCTTGCAGATGATACACAGGACTGCCATTCACATGCTAAGAACTCAGAATTACTTGCTATATCTAAATGGAAAAGGTATTTTTGGAAGTAGAGTGATAATGACCTTGACAAATCCCATTTTTCCCTCTAGAACTGTAAGGGTGAAGGACTAATTTTCTGGTTTCCCAGGAAATACATTGCTCTTAAAATTTAAAACAAGGTCAGGTTACCCTTTTTTTACCAGAATTAAGTAGTAGGATTTTAAAAGCTTACTGTTATTCTCAAATGAGAAAAAATTAACAGCAAAATTATAAAGTAGGAACAAAATATAAATAATATTTTAAAGGAATTACAGATAAAAATCTATAAGAATTAATAGTTGAGTCAAAAATCTTAGTAGTCTCATGTGAAGCTGGTTATATTGTTGTTAGCTTGGTGGTGTTTTTTCCTTTTCTCTTTTTTCTTCGCCTCTGTATTTCTGTTATTGAAATTTTTTTAAAAGAATAAAGTTTATTGTATCCAGACATTGCAGAAGTTCTATAATATAAAGAAATGATTGCTACTTCTTTACCTCACCTCAAATCTGCTCCCTGTTGTTGCTATTTGCTGTGGAATCACCTGTGACTCATAGCAACTCTATGTACAACAGTTTTGAAGCCTGCCCTACCCTGAGCCAGTCTCTCTGACTCCAGCACACTGACCAGTGTTGCCCTAGTTACAGTATCAGCCTCCAGAAACTCTATGAACTTAGAGAAATGATGTAAGTTTTACAAGTGTACAGGTCTTTTATTCAGAGGGTCACTCTGAGTTGTCTACTACTCGACAGCACTTAACATCACATTGGGGTTTTCCTCTCCTGCGTTGTCCCTCCACCCTTCAAAGCATGTACTTCGGCAAAGATTGGTCCCTCCTGGCTACATGCCCAAAGTATATGAGACATAGTTTCAAAATCCTAGGCTCCAAGGAGAAACTTGGTTTCACCCTCTCTAAGATAGACCTGTTTTCTTGGCAGTCCATGGTATATTTAAGACTCTTCTCCTGCACCATAACTCAAAGACATCAATTCTTCTGTCATCCCAAGTCATTACCCAGCTCTCTGATGGCATAGCAAGTAATTGCAAAGACCATGGCCTGCATCAGGTGCACCTTAGTCTCCAGACTATCATTGCCTTTCAGTATTCTGGAGAGGTCCCTGACAGCAGATTTTCCTAGTGTAATTCATCTTTTGATTTCCTGATTGCTCATTGCATGAGTGTTTGATTGTGGAGCCAAGCAAGCTGTCACTGTTAACAATCTCAATATCTTCTCCATTCATCATGGTGCTGCAGTTTCACTCGGTGAGAATCTGTTTTCTTGATCTTGAGAGCTTCAATCCATATTGAAGACTACAGTCCTTGACCTTCTACAGCAAGTGCTTCAGGTTTTCCTCAGTTTCAGCAAGCAAGGTTGTGTCATCTTCATAACATAGGTATTTGATGAGTTTTCCTCCAGTCTTGATGCCACATTCCGCCTCATAGAACCCAGCCCTCCAAATGATCTATTCTGCATATAGATTGAAAAGGTGTGGTGACAGGACACATCCCTGACACAGTCTTCCTGATTTTGAACCGTGCTGTATTTCCCTGCTCTGTTCTAAGGATTGCCTCCTGGTCCAATAATAGGTTTTGCTAAGCACAATCAAGTGATCTGGGATTCCCATTCTCCTCAAGGTTAATCACAATTAGTTATGGTCCACACAGTCAAATGCCTTTGCATAGTCAATGAAACACAGATAAATATCCCTCTTAAACTCTGTTTTCTGCCAAGATCCATCCCATATTGGCGATAATACCTCTAGTGCCATGACCTATTCTAAACCCAGCTTGTATTTCTGGTAGTTCTCTGTCAATGTACTGTTTCAGTTGTTTTTGGATAATTTTCAGCAGGGTTTTGCTTATGTGCGATACTGTATAATAATTTCACACTTGATTTGATTACCTTTTTTTGGAATGGGAATATAGATGTCTTCCAGTCAGTTGGCCAGGTAGTTGCCCTCCAGATTTCTTGGCACAACTTAATGAGCACATCCAGAGCAGCATCTGTTTGCTGAAATATGTCAGTTGATATTCCTTCATTTCCTGGGGCTTTATTTTTTGTCAAGCCCTTCAGAGCAGCCTGAACTTCCTCCTGCATCACCATTGCATCTTGATCATGTATTGTTTCTTTAAATTCTTCTGTATCAGTCAATTCTTTTTGGTTCAGTGACTCTGTATACTCCTTTCAACTTCTTTTAATGCTTCCTGAATCATTCAGTATTCTGCCCATAGCATCCTTAAATATTGCAGTTCAAGGCTTGAATTTGTTTTTTAATTTCTTCAGCTTAAATACTGAGTGAGTTTGTCTCTTGATTTTTGGACTCCAGTTCTTTGCACATTTCATTATAATACTTTACTGTGTCTTACCATACTGCCCTTTGAAATCTTCTGTTCATCTTCTTAATTTCGTGATTTCTTTCCTTTGCTTTGGCTTCTCGGCAATCTAGTGCAGTATTCAGAGTCCTTTGTGACATCCATTTTAGTCTTGTCTTCTTCTGTCTTTGCAATGACTTTTGCATTCTTTGTGGATGGTATTCTTGATACCTCCCCACAGCTCATCTGGTCTTCATTCATTAGTGTTCAAGGCCTCAAATCTGTTCCTTAGTTAGTTTTTAAATTCAGGTGTAACAGACTCAATGTCAAATTTTGATTTCTGTGGATTTGATTTGACGTTATTTAGCTTTAATTTGAACTTGCATGTGAGTAGTTGATGATCTGTTCCACAATGAGCACCTGGCCTAGTTTTCACTGCTGATATTGAACTTCTTTAAAGATTCCTTCCACAGATCTTATCAGTCTGATTTCTGTGCATCCTATCAGGTGAAATCCATGTGTATAGCCTGCGTTTGTGTTTCTTATAAAAGATATTTTCTATGAATAAATCACTGATTGTGCAGAATTCTATCATTCTATCCTCAACCTCTTACCTGACACCAAGTCCATATTTTCCGACTAGTGATCCTTCTTCCCGGTTCCTAACTTTTGCGTTCCAGTCACCTATTATTATTAATGCATCTTGGTTGCAAGTTCGATCGATTTCTGACTGCACAAATTGGTAGAAATAATTTATTTCCTTCTCTTTGGCCCTGGTTCTAATGGTATTAACAGATTTTCCTTGTATGCATGCGTATGGATATTATTTTGTCACTGCATTGTATTTCAAGATGGACCTATCTAGCAACAGCCTTTTTAACTGTGAGAGCAACCCCATTTCTTACCTTCCCATTTGCAGTGTAGTACATCATATGGTCTCATCTGATTCAAAATGTCCCATGCCAGTCCGTCTCATTTCACCAATATTTCAATGACAGCATTTAAGCATTCCATTTTTTTCTTACTGATGTGCATTTTCCTACATTCATGTTTCTCCCATTTCATGCTCCAGCCATTTGTTTCTGCTTAAAACCATTGCGCCTCCTTTGTGTTTCCAAACTTGAGGGCTTAGCCTCAGTTTCCATATTTGCTAGTCTTCTCTGAGTTTGCTCTATTGTACATATGGTTTTCAAAGGCCTATTGTAGTTCCGAATTGGAAGACCAATCCTTCCTAGTCTGTCTTAATTTGGATACTTAGTTTTGGAAGAACATCTCACAGACAAGCATTTCAGTGAAAGGAGCAAATGAAAAACACTTTCCCCTTACAGACAATACCATACATGCAGTGCCCTCCACCTGCATGTGTGTCTTGTCCCTTCCCTTTCCCTGAATATCATCATTGTTTGCACTCCCTCCTAAACCGTCCAGGACCTCCCTTCCCCTAACAACCCTTTGATATGATGGCTTAGGCCACAAGTCACTTTTGTGATGTCTTGCACTTCATAATGTTTCTGGTCTCGCACATTGATTTCCATCTCATGTTTAGAGGTATTTAAGTCCAAATCCCACCTATCAGTTTCAGGGAGGGCTTTTTGTCTCTGGTAGCCCTGGAGAAAGGTGCTTATCCCTGAGCTTCTGTTCCAGGTCTTGTGGCATAGTCTCTCTGCTCTTCCTTTTGCACCACTTGACTGTCACAATATGATAATTTTCAAGGTGAGGACTATGTCTTCTTTAGATCTGGCATGCTACTGTTCTTTATTTGGCCCAAGGGCTGCAGGTCTGAATATCCATCTGGCCTAGGCTGCTGGCTGGTAGTTAACAAAGACAATGGGACCCTGGGAGAAAAGGGGGTCCTTGACAGGGAGGCAAATCAGTGATCTCCACTGCAGAGCCCTGGGTTTGTGAAGCAGATCTGGGCCTGGGGTGACTGGTTAACAAAGCCAGTGGGATCCTGGAAGAATGGGAGGTTCCCTAAACTCCCATGTATCTTTGTCTCTTGGCTCTGTTCCTCACATTTCAGTTTGTGGTAGTTTCCATGTGATGAAACCTGTAGGTCCTAGTATTTCTTGTTGAATGGAAGAGTGGATGAAAATTACACATGGTGCTCTTCATTCACTTATGACCCAGCCTACTATTAGTATTTTAAATCAAAGTCTTGGCATTGTTTTTAAAGACTTCGTATTCTTTCACAAATTCCCAAGAGCCCAGCTTTTACACGTCATAAACTTTGGCTTGCTTATCTTTGAAGAATTTTTCTGTACTTTGGAAATATTTCTTTTTGAGAAAGTAACTTCCCTTTTTTTTTCTTTCCCCCTTTTAGCTGCCTTTGCAGCAGTATTGCACTGGTAAGATTGTTTTTCTTTATATGCTAACTTTTATGCAAATATTTATAACTCACCAAAGTAGTTTTCTATATATTTAAGGGAATTATTTCAGCATTTTAATGATTAATATATATTATTCCATCTGACACAATAGCCTGAAAAAATGGCTTAATTGATAAGTCAGGGTCAGTGTAATAGAACTTTTTAATAAAAAAGAGATCCATTATTAAAAAGGCTCTTTCTGGGGTTCTACATCATTTAACATTAATGTAGTCTTCATGTTGAGAAGATTATTAACTTTTTAAATCTTCTGGATAAAGAGAAATACAGATTTCCTTAATGAGAGAGTTCTAAAATGGTAACTGAGTGACATTTACACTTTAATATACAGTTTAATTGTATGTCACATAAAATATCATTCTAATTAATTTTCATTTAAAAAGTTTAATTTGCATGTGTTTCTTATAGAAAGACATTTTGGTAGAAACATAAAATAGATTGAGAAAAATATTGATACCATTGTATTTTTATTGTAAAGTTATCTCCTAAATTACAGATAATTTTAGTTTTGCTTTTAGAGTGTCTTTTAATAATAATACTTTTATGTTTCAACATTGTTGCTTTATTCTTTTTCTTTTCAGGAGCCATATAACGCATCTCTTTGAAAATGATCGTCATTTTTCTCACCTCTCCACATTGGAAAGGGAGATGGCTTTTCGTACTGAAATGGTTCGTTTTCATGTCCTGTTTTATAGTGGTAGTTTAAGAATGTTTTAAAAAAATTTAAACCTTTACTATGGAAACTTTTTACTTAAATTTTCAGATATTCTAGAAAAGAAAGAGTAGACAACTCTCAACATCCCCCACGTCAACAATTGATAGCACATGGCTGTTTTCCTTTTACCTGCTGCCTTCCACTTCCTAAACTGTTTTTCCCCCCACAGAAATACTAGTCATTTTAACATTTCATCTATAAATATTTGATAAGATAGGATCTCTCTTGAAATGTTTGGCTTACTTTTAAAACAACACCTTTGTCATATGTAAAACATAACCCAAAACCTATTTGCATAAATGAATGACCCTGGTTGGCTTTTTCTTTTCTCCCCAACAATTAATGTGTTTGAACTGAGATCTAAAAATAGTGTTTACACATTGTGTTTGGGTGGATATATTAAAGTTATTCTTTCTTACCATTTTGTTTGTTAGTTTCCTTTGTCATTGATTTGTTGGCAAATGCAGGTCATTCATTGTGTGCAGTTTAGCCAGTCCGAATGTGACTGATTGACTGATTGCAGCCCCATGGTGGTGTTTGACATGTCCCTGTATTCCATGTTTTTGAATAGTAATAGGTCAATAGGTCAGAGACTGAGGAAGCTGCAGGTTTGTGGTTTTGTTCTCCCACTCCCCTCAGTGGGACTACTTCATAGGCTGTGCTGAGTCCTAGATGTCTCACTTTGTGGTCCTGATTTTTGACCCATAGCTTTAGGTGTCCTAATGCTGTTTACTCTATGACCTGGTCATCAGATAGATCTGTAATTTCATGCTTGCAAGTTAGATAGAGATCCAGTGTCCACTTTTCTTTCTGGCATTTATTAACTGAAATAGTTTTTATCTAACTCTGTAAAAATACATTTATAGAAGTAACTTTCTCATAATGCCTATATGTTTATGTCATGTACACTTCATATATGTTTTATACTTCATGTGGAAAAGTGGGAGATTCTTGATGACTATTATTTCTAAGTTTTTATTAAAAAATAATGGTTTTCTAGAATCTTCCAATGGGTAGTTTGCTTCTTGAGTGCCATTATGGGTTGGTTTAATTTAACATGCATTGTAAGTGTTTCTTTGGCTGGTGAGAATCCTTGGTGTTGATTTTTGTGTCTTTCTCCTTGATATGACCTCACTAAGAAACCTAACAGAAGATTGGCTATGAGTCAGTTACAACTTGATGGCAATGAATGAGTTCTTTCTCATTCACATCACAAGGGTCGTCTTATATAGCTCTTCCCAGACCTCCCATCAGTCAGTTTTCTTAGGAGTCTCATTCCTTTCAGTCGCGAGTGGTCTTTAGAGGTCACAGTCTTGGTGTTAGCAAGCTCTAGTGGCCTAGTGGGTAAGCAGCGGTGCTGCCAACCTGAAGGCTGGTGATTAAAATCTACCAGCTGCTCTTCAAGAGAAGAATGGACAGTTTCTTCTCATGTGAATTATATACTGAACATCTGCTGGAGGGACAGCTGTGAGTCGGCTCTGAGTAGCTGGCATTGAGTGAGTGACTGGCCTTGATGTTAGAAATGCTCATTGTTTCTGGATTGACACTGATGTTTCTAGGCGGTTATGTTGTTAAGGTGCCTTCGAATCAAGCCCAGCTCATGACATCCTGTGAACAACAGGTGGAAGCCGTGCTCTGTCCTGTGTCATCCCACACTCTCCTCCATGCTAAAGTCCATTGTCCATTGGAGGAGCTTCTAGATTGATTTCAGGTTTGGAAGCAGGAGTGTCTCCACTTCCTAAACCAGATGCCTCTGGAAACGCTATGAACATAGAGAAATGATGCTAATTATAGAACAGAGTTCAGGTCTTTTGTTTGCTATGAGTCGTATTCGAGTTGATGGCACTTAACCACTGCTGAGACCAGTGTTGTTATACTTTGGAGGAACATTCTTCTACTTTGTACATCACTCTTTGTCAGTTTACTGTACTGTGATGCTGAACCTTGTGGCATTGGGGTGTCAAATGCCGTAACGGTGGCCCAAGATGGACAGTGTTTGGTGGAGCTTCTAGTTGTAAACTGGGTTTGGAAGCAGGAGTGGCATCCACTTTCTAAACCAAATGCCTCTGGAAAATCTATGAACTTGGAAAAACGACGATAGTTATGGAAAGGTATCATATCTTTTGTTCATAGATTTCCTATGAGTTATGTTCTACTTGATAGCATTCAGCTTTCCCGACATACTGCATATTCCCCCCCCCCGTGTGGGGCAAAGTTGGCTGATAGTAGTGTTTTGGTGATTCAAGTAAACAGTAGATTTGAAGTCTCTAGGCTTTTTGTAACTTTAAATTCATATTAAATCCTTTACTCATCTTGTTCATAAGCATGCCTCTTTTGATGATTCAAGTTGTTGTTGTGTACCGTCAACTTGGAACCAACTCCTGCCTGACCCTCCAGTGGGTTTTCAGAGAGAGTAAGTCACACAGAGGACACTGTCCATCTGCTCCTGGGGAGCAGCTGGTGGATTTAAACTGCATTCTTTTGTGTCGGCCACCAGAGCTCCCTAAAGTATAAAAAAAGATGCACTACCCTTGAGTTGATTCAAACTCTTCCAACGCAGTCACTGTTTAAGAGAGGAGACTTCTCATCTTTTTGGCAATGAGCAGCAGGTAGATTAGTACTGCTGACGTTTTGGTGAGTAATCTTACATGTCATGCACTATGTCACTGGAGTTCTTAGCATCAGAATGGGGAGTAAGATAGTTCTGGATGAAGCTTACTGAGTTAAGTATTGAGATAATTTTGACATCATTTTGAGTTTGTTTCCATTGAGACAAAGTTGTCTCAGTTGCTCAGCAAGTCCACTGTTGAGAGGCATAGGTGCTTTTATCAGTGATCAGAAACCTCCACAATTATTGTAGTAATTACTTTTACCTACTTGATCTCTTTGTTTTTCTAAAACCATGTACTTAGGCTTGGGGTTTTTAAAATTTGTTTGTTTATTTATCTAAGAAGACGCATAATAATGATTTACCTTTTGTAACTGGAATATACTCTTATTTCAGGGACTATATTATTCTTACTTCAAGACTATTGTGGAAGCCCCTTCATTTTTGAATGGTGTGTGGATGATTATGAATGATAAGCTTACTGAATACCCCCTTGTTATTAATACATTAAAACGGTTCAATCTTTATCCTGAGGTAAGTTACTTTTTCAAGTGAGTCCTTTCTCTTGTTTTGAAGCTGTTTATGCCTTAAATTAATTCTAAATCTAAGGTGTAATTCAAGATGTTAATTTTTTGTTTAAGAAAATGAATGTATTAGGAAGGATTGCAGGAAAAGCATCATTGTTGATTTTGTTGGACTTTGTATGAAAAGAATTATTATTTAAACATAAGAGCTCATTTAGGGATTAGAGTGGGAGAACATTGTTTATGTTACATTTTATTTCCTAAAAATGTTTCCTTTCTATTTGAGATTTTTATTTTATTGAGCACACTTTCTTCGGACTTAGTGGAGAGCTCAGAGGTAGGCCCAGAGGTGAGGGAAGAAGGCACTATCATTAGGTGTGAGTTGCTGGTGGAGAAGGGAGTGTGACATTGAATGAGCTAACACATTTCCAGAGGAGGGCTCAGATAAGACCTGTTAGTTATTAACCATCATGAATGTGGGGGAAATGCACGTCTTATCCTGGAGGTGATACATTGCAGCCTCCGCTATCATTATGCTGTTTGGCTGGCTGTTCTGTGCCAGTCACACATTATTCTAATTTTCACCAGTAAGACGTTTTAGTATCAATCAGGCTTTTTCTTCAGCTTCCTTTTTATTCTTCTGGATAGATTTTAGGCACTTGAAATTGGAATAGAATTATTTGATGTTTAAAATGTATTAAATGGAAAATTCACTTCTATTTAAGAAGATAAAAGGTTCTTTGGTTGTAAATTATTTACTCATGGCAGCTAGCCCAAAATGTTGTTGTGTACTAGCAAGTCAGAACTGACCCATAGTTGACCCTCCAGTGGGTTTTCGTAGGCAATCAGTCACGTGGGAGGAGATTGCCCATCTTTCTCCCATGGAGCAGCTGGTGGATTTGACGCATGTACCTTTGAATTGGCAGCACAATTTGTTATCACAAAGCCACCAAAATAGTCAAGTGATTTCTTTGCATAAAGATTGTAGCTAGGGAACACTTTGGGGCTGTTCTGTGTGCTCATATGGGTTTGCTAGGAGTCAGAATTGAATATACCATATACAGTCATAACAAGAAGTAGCTTGAAGTTTGACAGTTCTAATGTGTTATAAGGCACTGAGGAAGACTAGCTGTCTACTCTGTAACTGTGGAGTCACCAGGATTCAGGCCCAACTTGATGACAGTGTGTTTGTGCTTTTCAAGAAGACACTGCATCTATTGAAATTGTTTCTTTATATCTCTTATCAAGACCCTGTGTGTTTATTTATGATCAATTGAAGACTAATTAGTGAAGACTGTAGGAAATTATGAAACTCACTTTACTAGATTTAAAGGGAATTCTGGCTCAGGAAGGGCAAATTTGATAGTTGCTCAAATATGTGAAAAATATTTCATATTGGAAATTTGTTGATAATAATATCTTTTATTATAATTTTTTAAAATAGGTAATCTTAGCCAGCTGGTACCGAATTTATACCAAAATGATGGACTTGATTGGTATTCAAACCAAGATGTGCTGGACGGTGACCCGAGGAGAAGGGCTCAGCCCCATTGAGAGCTGTGAAGGCAGGTCCTTTGTGATCCTCCTGTGGCCTTTATGGCAGCCTACTTAGAGGCATCACATCTCCACTTTCCCTCTTTTTTTTAAAGAATTGCTTTGCATACAGTAATTTGTTTACATTGTTTCATTCATGTATATTGTAAGGTTTTTTTAAATTGGCTGGCATGTCATCTTTCCTACACCTTGGGTTGTACATTGTGTTTTATACAATCTTTGACTTACGTTGTGTTTCGTACATTTATATGCTTTGCATTTTATACAGTTAATTACTGTTGATCTCTGCCTATTACTACTTGTCTTTTTGAGTTCTCATTGAATCTTTCCTATTCCTTCACTGACCCCATCCCCTGTTTGCTCACTGAACTCTGCTTTCATAGTGATTTCACCCTTGTCCTTTTCCTGCCCCTTTGCTCCTTCCCCTGAACATTTATACATATCTTGCTCAGTTATCCTTCTGTTTTTACAATTATGGCCTTGTCCTTATGAGACTGAGTTAGCTCACTCAGCAAAACACCCTCTCGACTTTCTCATGTTATATAGTATTTTACTAAATTATGTATTCCATGTGTGAATGTACTGTGATTTCTCAATCCATTTGTTTTTTTGATGGACATTTTGCTTGCTTTTATTTTCTTACTATTGTGAATAACACTTTTATAAACATAGGTATATATATCTCTGTTTGGGTCTCAGTTTTAATTTTGTTGGGTTATATTCTTAGCAGTGCAATTGATAAAACCTCAGATTTGGTAATATAAAACAACAGTACTCTTACCATGTTTTTGCGTTTTGTGAGTCTACAGTTTGGAGAGGATACAAGGTAGTAGCTTCTCTCTTAGTGATGCCAGGACCCCTGCTTGTAAAACTTGAGTGTTTGGGCAGAATAAAATCAACTGAAGGCTGCTTCACTCCCACTTCCGTCTCCTGAGCTGAGATGTTTTCAAGGTTGGAGCACGGTGCTTCTAGGTAGGCACATAACACAGGGCTGTGGGAGCAAGCCTTCCAGTAAACAAGTGGAAGCTGCATGACCTCTTAACAACTTGCTCGACAAGTTCACACAGTATCACTTTTACCATATCCTATTGAAGCAATCTTAAATCCAGCCTGCCTCAGTGTCAGGGGTATGGCCTCCACATCTCTTTAGGATAAATATCAGACAATTTGCAGCCTTATTTTAAAACCAGGCAGCTGTTATCCTCCTCTTATCAAGAAAAGACATAAGATACATCATCTGTAGTAGCATTGTGCTTGCAAGTGGGAACCAGTAGTAGCTGTTTCAAAACAAAACTGTTTCATTTAAAATTACTTGAAATGTGAATGAATTTATCGTTGGTAACTTTTATTTTGCTTTTTTTTTTTACTTTCCAAGGATTAGGCGATCCTGCTTGCTTTTATGTGGCAGTTATTTTTCTTTTAAATGGATTAATGATGGCTTTGTTCTTCATATATGGCACATATTTAAGGTAAGATTATTCCTTGAAAATGTTAGCATGTGTTTATAATAAAACATAATGCAATAGTTAGAATAATTTTTGATATATTCTATTTTGTAACTCTAATGACTAAAAATATCTGCTTAGGGATATAAAGGGAGCTCTGGTGGTAAAGTAGATAACGAGTTGTGTGGCTAACTGAAAGAGAGGCAGTTCAAATCCACCAGCTGCTCCTTCGGAAAGGATGATCAGTCTCCTCCCATGTTATAGCCTTGGAAAACCCACTAGTGGGTCTGCTATAATTACTTCCTACTCTATGACACAATGACCAAGGAGGATAGAAGGAGAACTGATGCCTTTGAGCTGTGGTGCTGGAGAAGAGTACTGAGAATACCATGGACTGCTAGGAAAACAAATAGAT